TAAAACACATTTGTACAACTTACTTTGTTTGAAAAGAATTGTTTGTTCCCCTGTGATCCAGGTCATGACATAATGAAGCTACAATTAATCCCAACTTCTCGTTTTCATTCATTATGTGATACATATTTCCCGTCTAAGTTAAGAGTTAATTATTAAATTAATCAAAGACTACTTTACCAGTGTCACCTATTTACAAAATGTTTTATAAGCATTTGCTTTTATTAATTTGTTTACTACAGTACTAACACTTTTAAAAGTTTAATATATTATCATATATATCCTTATATTTCCACATAAATTATTATAATCAGGACTTATATTAATAAGTAGTAAACATTTAATATTTTCCTTTAATTTATTATTATATTTAATTTATTGACTTAACTGTCAAAATAGCAAACATTGTTTGCGTTACATTCAAAGCATGTCTCCAATTGTGATATGTTACCTAAAAATATTAATTTTTATGTTTTAAATTTTGAAGTATTGTCTAAAATAGCAACAAACTTACGGGTCTATAGTTCTTCTTGACACTGAGAATCCATCGACAGAGGACCTATCGTTCAATCATATAATGTATTCATACTGTACTGTATATAATGTACCCTGAAAGGTTTGTATCATTTGTATTGCACTTGCCATAGAAGGTATATCTTACATTGAATTCAATACAAATGATACAAATCTTTCAGGGACTACAACACAGGTCATGTTGATTGAGCTTACTACATACAGAATATCTGGATAGTACAGAATATCTTTATATAAGTTTTCTTATACTAACTCATTTACATTCGCTTATATGATATAATAATTATTAAAGCTTATACAGTATCTGTATATTAATAATTATACGGTAATAACAGTGTTATTATGATTACCTGATATGGAATTTTAAAAGTATTGATAAGTTTGAGATCTAAGAACATCCTAAGAGTTGCAGAACAGGTGTCCCTTTCATCCAAACAAAAATCCGAGAATTCAAACGAATATAACTGATAAT